TTTCAATGTAACATATATTTTTAAAATAAAAAAAAACATGTAATCTCCATATAATATATGGACTGTGCCAGCATTGTGTCAACTGGATATTTTTATTAAAATTTGATTTATGTAATGGTCAGTCTCTACCCAGCACCTGAAGATTGCACTGTGCATGAAACTCTGACTTATGCTACCGGTGAAGGATAATATGAAGATTTATTAATATATACTTAATGGCTCTGTTATATTACATCAAGCACTATTTTATTAATACCAGCACTCAATGTGCAGTATCATATATATATATATATATATATATATATATATATATATATATATATATATATATATATATATATATATATATAGGAGGTATGTCTGAAAATTAATGGAACTGGTATCAAACAATTTATTTCAATTACAAACAACATGGTTTATTGTTCAAAGTAATCCCCCTCGGGTCTAATGCACTTTTCCACCTTTCTCTGCCACACTTCTATGCATTGCTGGAAGGATTCTTCTTGGGTACTTCATTGTTATTGACCTCTTGATAGCATCCATGTCTTCAAAATGGTCCTTTCGATGACCCTCTTCAGCTTGGGGAAAAGAAAAAGTCACACAGAGTAAGATCAAGTGAATAGGGAGGTTGTTCCAATATGTCGATGTTCTTCTTGGTCAGTAACTGTTAGATTCTCAGGGCGTTGTGTGGAATTGCACTGTCATGGTGAAGCAGCCACAATTTGACCTGCGACAACTCTTTCATGTGAAAAAAATAAATCCAATAGTTGTAGAAAACTAAGATTACAGTTATATGCTCCCAAGATGTTTTAGATGATAACACAAATCGTTTATCCCTCTTTTACCCATAGAACACAGAACACCCAGTTCGATTACTTTTCAGATAGACCTTGTGTGTGTGTATATATATATATACTTGACTCTCCCATCGAATTAGACGTATGAGGGTCAAGCAGCTCAGTTCTTAGGTACCAAAAGCCTGACACCAGCACATGAGATTTGATTATAGTGGTGAAGGTTTTGTGCAGAACCATCCACACTTTTTGAAGGGTCGAATACAGACAACTGATGCACTACGTATTACAAGGTCCCCGAACGACCATCTGCAGGTTTTGCATTCAGAGTTGTCCTTCTCCTAGACCAGTTGCCATCCAAGGCTATAGAACCCAGTCTGTTCTGCTATTTACCGATAGCTGGAAGGAGAAGAAGAGGATTCATACCTTTCCCAAGGGTATTAGCACATGTGAATGTAATGGATTGACTGGAATTTGAACTCAGCTCTCCAACTCCTCAATCCAAATCACTATCCATTACTCCACTGTGCCTCCTCCACACTCAAACACACACACACACACACACATATATATATATATATATATATATATATATATATATATATATATATAAAAAACACGCAAAGTTTTTTTTTTTTTTTTAGATCTTTTGAGTAAGTAACTCATTTTAAATGCAAAATAAGTAAAGCAGATAGAAAAGTTGATATTAAGTTGATGCAAATGTTTCTATGCTATGTTTTGCACAATGCTAGGGAAATCTTAGAAGTGTATTTGAAGTTTAATTATTTCTTTATTGTTTATGCTATCAGACAAGCCATAGAACTCAGAAGCAGTAAAAATGAATTTGACATGAACTTACATTGGGCAGCATTGGTCATCACTTAAACATTTGTTTTTCTCTTATTCAGCATGTGTAAAAAGTTACTCTTGGACAAATATGTCATTGGTGATGAAAAATAGATTCATTATGAAAATACCAAATCAAGAAAATTGTAATTAGATACAGTACATTCTTTAACATTTCAGTTTTTATATAGAATTTGATTAGAAAAAAAAAATTCTCTTTGTTGGGACACAAAGTGAATTTTCATTTATTGCAAATTACTGGAATTGTCTACTCTGTTTCTGTGCATTGCTACAGTGAGTTATTGTCTTGTTTGAATGACATATTGGAAGTGACAAAAAAAACAAAAGAAACAATCCTTTTACTGGAGTAGGAAGTCAACTGATTTTACTGTATGATGACATCTGACCTCATGTTACAAATGAGAAACAATCAGGGAATTAGGATAAGAAGTAAGTTCTTCTATTCATAGTGTATTCTCTTGATATGTCACTTTTAAACAATCACTTGTTTTACTCCATGCAATATTCCTTGTTTGGTTAGCAGTACCCCAAGTACAAAATACTGAAAAAATTCCAAGAAGAAAAGATTATATTGAAACCAGATTTATTCTTTGATATTGGAATAAGCAATTGACCTGATAGGTAATGTCCAAATTCAGGGTCTTCTCACTGCTGTTGGAGGAACGTCACCCTGGTTGACATCCACCAATTTCTATCAGTTGTGTATAAGTAATATCTATGCATTCTGAAAGTGTTAGAAATTTCCACTTGCCCACTAGAATTGGATAGCAATATCTATGCATTCTGAGAAGGGTTTAACATTTTCACATGCCCACTAGAATCGGATAGCAACATCTATGCATTCTGAGAAGGGTTTAACATTTCCACATGCCCACTAGAATCAGATAGCAATATCCATACTTTCTGAGAAGGTTTTGCCATTTCCACATCCCACTAAAATCAGATAGCAATATCTATGCATTCTGAGAAGGTTTTGCCATTACCACATGCCCAGTAGAATCAGATAGCAAGATCTGTGCATTTTGAGATGGGTTTAACATTTCCACATGCCCACTAGAATCGGATAGCAACATCTATGCATTCTGAGAAGGCTTTGCCATTACCACATGCCCACTAGAATCTGTTAGCAATATCTATGCATTCTGAGAAGGGTTTAACATTTCTACATGTCCACTAGAATCAGATAGCAATATCCATACTTTCTGAGAAGGTTTTGCCATTTCCACATCCCACTAAAATCAGATAGCAATATCTATGCATGCCCACTAGAATCAGATCTTTTAATGTGGGTGAATTTAAAAAAAAAATTTTTTATCTTTTGGTGCATGACCCATACCTTATATTGGTAGGTAACTGGATAGTAAGGTATTAATATATATTTTTTTATCATCAATGTAAAAAATCTTGTATAATTAAAAATATCCAAGTTCATTGTTTATTTAAATTTCAAAATGCTTTTTAAATATGTGCTAATAAATCTTTAAATTCATTATTTCAATTTTTATTTTTATTTTGTTTTTCCAGGCCAAATTGGTAACATAGGAAACCTTATAAGTCCAGTTGGGGCATCCCAAGTTGCGGCCCTCTCCTCCAGTGTTCCCCTCCCTTTGAAAATTCCAGGTGCCCAAACACTTCAATTCCGTGCCCCTGCCAGCATTGTATCAACCAATACACTTGGGGTAAAACCTGGTCAAGCTGTCGCTGTCAGTATGACTGCAAATCGGCATGCAGTGTCTGCCCAGCATGGTACTCGCCCGATCCAAATTCAACCAGACATGTCTGGAGTGAACCATGCAGCACATGCCATTGTCCCTGCCATGATGCAGTCGGTCAGTTCTGCCTCTCAACCGACTGTCAATGCTAACATTATTCAGGCCATAACTGCATCCTCCCAAAAGCCAAACCCTGACCCTGCTGTTGCCAAAGACAGCAAGGCACAAGAACTGACCAAGGTCACTACAGCAAATGTGCTTCCTATCACAGTGACCTCTGTTCCCATCCAGATGACGTCCAAACATCTGGCGTCCAGTAGCAACAGCCTACCCATACAAAAATTGTCAAATGTTAATACAGCAACAGTTCATATGGTTCCCAGTTGCACAATGGCCACTGGTCAGAAACCCCCCTCCACTACATTGCCACATATGCACATGATTCCCACAACCAACACAACTTCCATCCACATGGTTCCAGTGAGCAGTGCCACTCAGTTTTCCTTTGGTACTACAAATGCACCATCAATACGAATGATCAGCCCCACAGCCAATACTCCCATACAGATGGTGACCACTTTATCATCTGCCTGTCCCATGCAAAGGGTTACTGCTGTATCGACCACAACAGCATCTACTATTGCTCACAACAAAAAGATACCACCTCTGGCATCGCTGCAAGCGGTCAACTCCGCCCCGTTCCAAATGGTTCATACTGGCTCTCCAGCTGTCCCTGTACAGCTGGTCACCACTGTCTCAAGCGCCCCAATTGTATCAGTGTCAGCACCGGTCCAGCCTCAGCCAGACACAACCTCAGATGTACCAAGAACCCTCAACACCACAACCAGCAATGACCAAACAAAAGATCTAACTGCTAATGCTGAAATTAAAATAGAACCATCCTCTACAATTGTTGATAATGATCCTGTTAATATCTTGACTTGGGAGAATGGTATTGGAACACTTCCAGGAAGCAACTTGAAGGTAAAAAGTAAAGAAATTCTTTAATTGAATTTTATAAATCTAGGTAGACACTGTGAAACAACAGCCATTTTGTAATGAGGAAAATTTTTTTTAGTCTTTCAATGATAATGGATAATCAAATATAAAAATATAATAAAATAATATATATAAAAATAAATGGATAATCAAATACCAAAATGAAGAAACTCTTAAGTAAAACATTTTATCCTCAGAAGAAACTCCCTCAGGCTGATAATGGTTTTATCAATGGAGTGTTTTATATATAATATATATATATGTGTGTGTGTGTGTGTGTGTGTATGTATGTGTGTGTATATATGTGTGTATATATGTATGTGTGTGTGTGTGTGTGTATATATATATATATGTGTGTGTGTGTGTATATATATATATGTGTGTGTGTGTATATATATATATGTGTGTGTATATATATATATGTGTGTGTATATATATATATGTGTATATATATATATATATATATATATATATATATATATATATATATGTGTATATATATATATGTGTATATATATATAATTTGAAAATTATAAATTCAACACCATCACTTGATAAGACACCAGAAGTGTTGAAACAAAATGACTATTTTTAGTAGTCATTTTATAACATATTTATGTTATAATTTTGAATAAATAATTATATTTGCTCTACTCTGTATTGAGCACTCTTTTAAGAATAGTATTTGTTAGTTGTTGAATTTATTCCGTATACACCAATCCTATACTTGGGTGTATATATATATATATATATATATATATATATATATATATATATATATATATATATATATATATATATGTATGTAAGTAAAAAAAAGTTATCCATGTATGCTTTTTATAATATGTAGATATAATAGGCTGGTGAAAGAAATTAGATAAAAAAAACTAACAAAAATTATATTGATAATTAGTCTAATAATATTTAAAGTATATTAGTAAGTCTTTTGACCAAATGGAAGCATGATGAGAAAGATTTTAAAAATCGGAAGATTGTTAAGATTGTGGCTTCATCAAGTATAGTCATCCAAAAATGTCAAGCAATTTAAATTTTACTTCATCGGTTTACAACACTATTGAATAAAAAATGATAATGAAAATGTTATTTATAATAAATGATTACTCGTTGTTGTGTTTACAGTTCCAGCTGAATGAATTTGGTTTAGTAGAAATGATAAAAGACAATGATCTGGAGTGTGGAGAAACAATGGACAACTGCAGTGATCCTGGAAGTGCTGACAGCGTACAGACAGACACAAGCAGCAAACCAGATTCTAGTACAACGAACCCAGATAATCAAGGTTAGATAAATCTTCAATTCATAGAAACATTTAAGAAATACTAGCTTAACCTTGCTGTTAGACATGACATGGATATTTTATTATATCCCTTTTATTAGTAAAATATTTCCACATGTGAATCTTAAAATATATTTTAATAAAATGGCACCAATATTCAGAGAACTTAAAATGTTTACTTGGTTACTTATTTTAATGCATTATTTTACTTATAATTATTGGCAAATAACGCAAACAATAATCAGTGCATTATTTAAACAAATTAGCTGCAAGTAATTAATAGCACCTTTTTTTGTACCCATCTGTCACTTATATTACTGCCAATTAAGATTGTATCTACATTTATATAAGTTGTGAAGTAATCATAAGTAATGCATTTAATCAAATTAAGTGTTGCATAATTTGTTGCCATTAAATATGAGGACAGTAACCAATCAAAAATGACCTGATGATTTACATATGATGGGACTTAGATCAAAATGTTCCTACCTGGACTTTGGTCAATGATCACTGTAGTATCTGTACATCCTGAAGTGTTGCACTCAACACACATAAGGGGTGGAGGTGTACCAGAAGTAATGGATCCTATTTAGTTCCACAGAAACTGCAACACAGAGCAGTCACATTACAGGTGGTCATTTAAAAATTAGCACAGATATTCAGAGAACTTAAAACGATTACAATTTATTTTAGTACATCATTTTACTTTCAGTTATTTGCCACATGATACAAACAATAGTCAGTGCATTATTTAAACAAATTCGCTGTAAATAATTAACAGTGCATTTTTATAGCCATCTATCACTTATATTATTGCCAACTAAAGGTGTTTTTACATTTACATATGTAGTGAAGTAATTGTTCTAAGTAATGTGGTTATTTGAAATAAGTGCTGCATAATTTGTCGTATATTAAAAAGTAGTAATTATTAAAGTCAGCCTATTTTGTTAAGTCCTTACTATTATAAGGTTTCCATGTGAATTTTTAAATACAAGGGTAAGTCAAAAAAATGATCTGCACTTTCAGCATAGCATATCTTTATACCAGAGTGCAGATAATTTTTCCCATTTAATGCTTGTTGTTGTCTTCGATGTTTTGTTTCTGTACACTAGTATTAAATTGATACTGCATCTTTTTCTACTGAACAATATATTTAATTATATTTTGTTGCTATATTTTCATGTTATATTCATATTCAGCAAATATTTTTTCAATAAATAAAATGACATCTTTGTTTTTTTTTTTAACTACCATGATTTCATTGCTTTGTAAAATGTCTGACATGTTTAAAGTCTACCATTTACTTTTTGTTTATCATACTAAAACACTTTGGTTTTTGGACTTCTTTCAAATTTCAGATTTGGCAAAATGTTTGAGAAAAGATGGCAATGAAAACTGCCAGTGCTCCAGCTGTAACCAGTGAGTATTATCTGCTCCCTATTATTTTTATAGGATGTCACCTAGATTGTTCTAATTCCACACGTCATACCTCTATCTCAAGGACACATGCTCCAGTTGATAAAAGCATTGGTTGAGTAATCGAAAAGAGTGACTTGAGACAAAGACAATACCTGGCCATAGTAAAGGGAACAAAAACTTGGAGAGTTGAATTACTAAAGGGAATTAACTGAAACTCAGATATCCAAAAATAAGGGCATGGCACGTGGAATTAGAACAGTTTACCCCAGTGGACTAAATTAAAGGTTCAGTTTGAAATTCCAATGTATATCACCTGAAGAAGGCCGGAGTGTACAGTGGTTGAAATGTTGTAAATATGGCAATAAAGATGAGGACAACAGTCTGAACAATGTAAATAGTGTAAATAGTTACAATACCTCATCTCAGAAAAATAGACAGATTCTGAAGGAGGCTGGAGTGTACATGTCCGAAATGTCATGAATATGGCAATAAAGATGGGGACCACAGTCTGAACGATGTAAAGACTGTTAATAGTTACAATACCTCATCTCAAAAATATTGACAGATTTAAAACAATCTTAAATTAATATTTTATTTAATTATTCTGTAGTTTATCTCAGTTTTAAGATAAACTTCACTTAAAACTTCTCACTTTCTTCATCTCTTTATATATGGGAAGAAGAAATATAAAGCTAATTTGACAAAGAAAAAGGTGAAAAATTTGTTTGAAAGTATTCTGGTGTAAGAAAAAATGCCAAGTTTTCAGCTGGATTCACATTCAGTGATTTTATATTTTTCTTCTGAATAAAGAGTGAGAATATTTCTGTTTCCTTGGTTATCATAAAGCAACCATTACAGAGTTTGGTATACAGCTGACAGTTTAAACTATTTTATAAATAAAGAGAATTATTCTTTAAATCTTTACATGTAACAGATCCTTGTAAAAGAAAAACTACTTTGATTCAATTGTTAGTAAAATAATAATAAAACATAACATCTTTTTGTTAAATGCATTACAGTTGATTTGTAGAAAAAATGTTAAAAGCAGATGGATTAAATATTAATCATTTTGAAATGGATGCAATAAAAACAAACATAAGAGATAAGAGAAAAGTACAACTAGAGTAATTCACAATATGAAATGGAAAATATGAGGAAATAAAATACATTTCTTTATAATTATATTTTCTTTTTTCTTGTCTCCATTTTTTACTTGGTATGTACAATCTTAATTTCCTTGATTGAGTTTTGACAAGTGAAGAGCAATAATCGGTTAACTCATTCTTTCTTTTTTTTCTTTTTTTCATATTGCCAACAAATGTCTTGTCCTTTTTAATTATGTCTGTTTTTATGGCACATTAAATTTTGTGCCTTCAATAAGATCTTTAATTTTGAAATTGTTTTTATTTTTTATTCTTAAAATAGTATATGTTTTATAACTACTTTTTAGAATTTTGAAAATTATTACTAATGTACTTAATGCTAATAGGTGTAAGTTGTATGAATTTCTTAAACAAAATACTATAAAATTGATTTTTAACTAGTTTTTCTTTTCAATTTGTTTTTACTGCCTTTTGTTGGAATTTTTAAGTTGTGTATTACATTTGATGGCCATTAAAGCCACTTTTTATTTCTAATCCCTGCTGCTTGCTTGGTGGTTGTAGAAGGTGAAAAAGACTTAAAGGTTGTGATATAAAACAACAAGGAGTTAAAGGTTAGGGTGATGATATTTAGAGGCAGTTTTCATTGAAGATATTTATTAACACTTCTGTTACTGTGAATGTACTTAAACTTACATTGCCTGCTAATGACACACACACACACACACACACACACACACACACACACACACACACACAAGTATAGGATTGGTGTAGACAGAATAAAATTTCAATAACCAAAAACACTATTCTTAAAAGAGTGCTCAATACAGAGTAGAGCAAATATTATTTATTCAAAAAATATAACATAAACATGTTATAACATCACTAAAAAAAATTGCCATTTTGTTTCAACACTTCTGATATCTTCTCAAGTGATGGTGTTGAATGTAGAATAAAGCATTTTTTTTATTCAAGATACTTGAGAAGACACCACAAGTGTTGAAACAAAATGGCTATTTTTGTAGTGATGTTATAACATGTTTATGTTATAATTTTTGAATAAATAAATTATATATGTGTGTGTGTGTGTGTGTGTGTGTTTTCAAAACATCTTGAAATGTCAGTTTTGTGACATTTTGATTATATTGTGCATTTGAAGTGCCATTTAACAGACTGTACTACAGAGTCTACTAGTGCTGATAGCAGACATGGAAAATAAACTACAAAACCTCCCACAGAAGGTAGTGAAGGAAAGCCAGAAGAAAGGACTAAGCATCAACTACAAGAAGACAATGTATGGTTATCAGTAAAATGATGTGCCTAAAATGCAAATTACATGACGGGTATACTAAAATCAAGCAGGTACAGAAATTTAACTATCTGGTAAGTGTTCTAACAGAGGCTGGGAAGTGTGTCATCGAGATCTGAAGACATATTGGTTTGCATTCCAAAAACTAAGCAGAGTATTAAAAGAAAGCAAAATTTTGTTGGAAACAAAGAAAAAGAGTACGGAACTGCTACATGATATCTGTCCTCCTATATGGCAGTGAATACTGGAAAATCTCCTCAAAAGATGAAGAAGAGACTTGAAGCAACAGAAATGTGGTTCTACAGAAAGATGATGAGATATTCATGGACTGAACATACGAGCAACAACAAAGTTTTGGAGAGAATGGAAACAAAAAGGAATCTTATACTTAACATCAAGAAGAGGCAGTTGAAATTTCTGGGGTACATAATGAAGAAGGAGGGTTTGTAAAATTTGATACTCACAGAAAAGATTGAGGGAAAGAGGAACAGAGGAAAGTAGTGTGTAACATACTTGAAGGGCTTGGGTAAATGGATGGCAGAACAGTGTTCGGGAGAAATAACAAAAAAAAACCCAAAAAGACCTACAAGCACAAGAAGATGTGAAGGGCCATGATCGCCTACATTCTGAAGTGTCACGGCACATAAAAGAAGACTACAAAGTATCCAGTCAAAACCAAAATGGTGGTGGCCATGGGAAATTGCTGTCAGCATCTTTATAGACATTTATTTATAGTAAATGGCAATTATCTATTTTTCCCAACATGGGCCAGCACAGCCAGGCAATAATGTTATGACAATGCAGCAGTGATATTAGTTTAGTCACATACAAAGCTAATTATGATTTTCTGGCATTTGTATGAACATGGATTTAATAGTTTTGTACCTGTAGACTCTTTTTGGCATATAGGATTTTAAGCACATCATGTCAGTAGGCATGACTTTGGGCAACTCCCCATAATTGTACCTATGTCAATCTAGCTGCCTTTGCCTCATTCTTAAATATTATTCTTGACATTCCCTTTGGTTTCTCAATTCTTTCCTCTTGGATTTCATTCCAGTGCCTGCTTTGTGACATTGCCAGAGGAATTATCTCTGATGTGTTTTGTATTTAGAAGAATAAGAATATTACTGACAAAAAATTATTATTGTTCTTTTATTTATAACTTTGTAAAGAAGATGAAAGAATGTTTTATTTCATATCTACTGGAAACCCACTTTGCACAAACCAAGAGACTGCAGTAATTACAGATACAACCAAGGTTCACTAGAAGGCTTTCACAGAGTTTTGTAATAGTGTTTCTTTTGTCAGCTCTAATGAAAACATCACCCTGTTTAACTTTTATTGTTATTCACAGCGGCAACTCTCCTGCTACTGAGAGACCTGTCATTGAAATCAGTTTCTTCGTTCTAGAATTGGTATTAACTCAGTTGACCCAAATCCTTACTGTGCTTACACCGTGCAATTTTATACAAACATTCACTAACCTTCTGTGTAGATTTACAGCACTTTCTACTTCCAAAAACAGAAATTGTGTGATAGTTCTTTGATTTTTATATATGTCCAGAGGCACAGTCATTTTGAAAGAGGATTATGAATAAGTGTTGAAACTTGACTAATGCATGGAATAATAATGCAACACAAAATGTACTTAGAACAAAATGTATTGAAACAAGAAAGTGTACACAATATTTACATATAGTCTTTTGTATATTCCTGGTAAGACCGTTCCTAGAGAATGTGTTGACTGAGTCGCAGTCGGGCAGAGTCTCTGGTTGAATCTCTTGATTCCTCCCTCTCTTCCCGGTACCAACCATATTTATATGGTTGGTACTCCACTATGCAAATTAGGTGGATCCTACCACAACAATAAGTAAAGAGAATTTTTTTTCTGCTTGGCTTTGAGACACTTTATGGTTTATAATTAAATATCTCTTTGGAATTCTGACTAAAACTATGGCAGTTAAATTAAAACTGGCATTAACTTTTGACTGAACCATGTACTAGTTTGATATTTTGTTAATTTTTATATAAAGTTTTAAAATTTGTGCCAAAATATATAAATTCATTAAAATATAAACAAATTAGATTGGTTGTTTGATTTTGTTTAGCAGCATATCAACCTCTTTGAGTAATTGAATGCCAAAATCTAAATATTTTGAATGCAATTTTGTGCCTTCAACTACAGATATTTTGTACATAATTTGATACTTTCATGGTAAATGTATGTTTTTTAGATATATAATTTGTAGATGATAAAATGTATTGTTGGTGATTTTAAAAAAATATGTATTGCTGGTGATTTCATTGTAATAATGTATCATTGGTAACTTTTAAAAAAAAATATATTGCTGGTAATTTTACTATAAAAATGGGTAATTTATTTTTCATGTAAGTCTTTGTTATATGTGTGTGTGCATGTGTACAATCTGAAAATGATGTCTATTTACTTTTCCAGAAAACTGCTGAAGCGTTCTTTGCCAGAGAAAGACGATGCCATACAAAAGAAAAAGAAACGCAAAATGATTTTGAACCAGAACAATAAATGTGATAGCAAACCTGTGGTGATTAAACAGGAGAAAATAGATGATGATGTCAAGAAGTCTTCTTCCAACATTCCTGGTCAGAACTTTATTAAATTTATAATTTTCTGTTTACTGATTTGTTATACATAAGCTCCTTAGATTCTTGGCTTGGAACTTTCAAACAAGGCTAAACGATTTATCATCTAAAAACAATTGGAAAACAATAACCATATCATATTGGATGCGGATTATTTAATTTTCATGAGTATTAATTTTTGACTTGTCTTTTTTTTTCTTGTTTTATTGATTTTTATTGCAGCTCTCATTTTTACTTTTGAATTCAAAATAATGAATAACCTTAATCTTTATTTCTGATCAATGATGTTTGTTTAACTATCATAAAGTAAGAAAGACATTTGTGTTGCAATAAAATGTAAGTGAATGAGATGAAAGCAGAACAGTTGATAATTAATAATAAATGACAATGCTTCATCTCATAATTTAAACAAATTTAAGACTATTATGTTTTATTACAGAAAGTGTAAATATAAAAACAAATAAAAAATATCTGTGTCTCCTGATGAGAGGATTTCAGAATCTGTGAAAGATTAACTGGAAATATCCTGTTGATTTTTTTTGGGGGGTGGGGACACACATATTCATTGTTATTTAAGATAAAATAAATAATAAATTCTATGCTAACAGTTTCTTCTCTCTCACTTCTTGCTTGTGGAATTCTCTTCTGACTTCTTGCTTCTCAGTCAACTTTGATCTTCAAAAATTTAAATGAAATGTCACTCATTATCTTCTGTCTTAATTTTTGTTCTTTTATTGTTCTCTCTCCTTAAAAGTAGTTTTTTTTTTTCTTATATTCTGTAACATTCAACAACCGCTTGCATCTTAGTAGCTTTATTGCCTTGCTTATGAGGAAATGATTAAGCAAATATCATAGTTTTAAAGACATATTCCTTAATTTATAGTTATTTCCTAGGCTTAGCTTAGTCAAGTACAAGGCTACAGTAGTCAGGCACTCAGTAAGGATCAAACTCATTGCATTTGTGAATCACGATCATTTCATAGCTTTATGTTTTAGATATTTTCTAACAAATAAACAAAACTTTTAATGACTCTACAACAGAGACAATGAACTGGCGGTTAGTTGTTTTGTTTCTACTAATGTTTAATCTGTTTTCCATTTGTAAATCAGTTTTGTAACATTTATTTTTTTGTGTATTTTAATTTAAAGGAAGTAAAAAATAACAATTCTCTTCAATACTTACAGGCAAAAAAGGGAAAACCTTTACGTGGACAAATTATCTTGATCAAGAAAATGCAGTTGGAGCCCCAACAAAATTGTTCAAGGAGGTAAAAATTTAATTCACATTTTTTTTTACACACTTATATTGAACTGTTTCTATATACAAATCTCATTGATTTGTTCACAATATTTATTTCTAAATTTTATTAACTGTTAAAAATTTTCAAATTAACCACAGCTTTTCTAAGTAGTAAGGTTGCCATGGTAACAATTTTTTTCATTTGTTTTGAAAATTCTCATACAGAGAAAAGCATTGACAAGATAAAAAAAAAGATTTAAACATTGAACTGGTTTCCATAAATTCCATCTTTCATATTTTGTTTGGATATTTCATGCCAGCCTTTTTATCACTGATCTGTTATTAAACTAAGTATAGTTTTGATTTTTCTGGAGTTAACAACCAATTCTGACACAAGATTATGGAGAACAGCTGAATCAGATTAAATCAGATCTAAGAAGTCTTTGAAGAATTCTTAGATTCTTTCTAAGAAATCTTTGAAGACTTCTTACTTCAATCTGCTATACCTTCCTGCTATTGCTCCATGTACAGTGATAATTCATCACTGCTGTTTTTTTTTGTCTCCCTGAGATTATTACTTGATTCTGTTCTCTCATTCATTGTTTATGAATGAGAAAAATTATGAGATGATTGACAACAATACAGGAACATTCCTGGTAAAACACTGTAAAAAGAAATTAATTTCTGAACAAATCGAATTCAAAACATTCACATCTCTTCTCTCATTTTGAAAAATTCCAGCCATTTCCAGCGGTGAAAAATAGCTTCAAGACAGGAATGAAACTGGAAGGTATTGACCCCAAACACCAATCACTCTACTGTGTTCTGAGTGTGGCTGAAGTGCATGGATTCCGTATGCGTTTGCACTTTGATGGTTACTCTGAATGTTATGACTTCTGGATCAATGCTGATTCTCCATTTATTTTCCCTGTTGGATGGTGTGAAAAGAACAATAAAACCTTACAACCACCCAAAGGTAATTGAATTTTTTCTCATTAACTGCCATTACTGTTGGTCAATAGTATTTTGCTCTGAAAAATATGAATGCTTGTATGAGATTATGATTTTTTAATATTTTTACTACGACTACTATTGCTGCTGCTGCTATCACATTAACAACACTACAGCAGCAATAATGATAATAGTAAAAATAAAATAAGGCACCTCTCTGTTATGTCCTTTTAGGATTTTGGTGATCATGGCCTTCCACAACTTCCTGCCTTATGTTCTAAGTAATTTTTGGTCCTTTACAACTCCTCTTTGTTTTGTACTTGTTCTAAAATTATGCACAGAATTTGGAAATGTGTGAACAAAATTAAAACCTTTATTAAATCTAATATATTGATGCTTTCATTAGAGGCTAGATATGTTGAAGTGATAGATTTTTGGCAAGTTAAGTTAATGTAGGATCACTTTAACATCCTTCCTTCTAGAATGGCTATTTTGAACATCATCTCCACCAACTTTAGGCAAAAGTTAAGTCATTCACCCTAAAGCAGACTATGTGCAGGGAATGTTTTGTATTGACAAAATTAAAAAGGATATTGGTCTCTTGTATGAAGACGAATTTTAAATGTATTATTGCCAAATTTGTTTTGAAATTTCCAAATGTAGCCTGTAGGTCAATTTGTGAATTGGGTCCACTAAAGTGTTTCATCACTCTGATAAAAATTTGATAAATTTTCATCAGGTTTTTGTATTCCATAACTTTATAGTTCCAAAATTATTGATGCATTTTTTCTTCAATTTAAAATAATCTTTTCAAATCTCTTAAAACTTGATGCAAATGTCCAATTTAAGTGAAACATTCCACAGTAGAATTGCACATAAATCAATTTTGATAAATACAGAATTTTGTTCAGGTGTATAGAGAATTCCATCTGTCATCAATATTTTTCACCAAATTATGCTCATATTTTAAATATGTAAAAACAAAAATGTTAAAATAAAGTATTATTCATAGTAAATTTCACAAAGACAAATTTTTATACATATTTTATTTCCTAAATGATGTTTTCTCTCTGAACAGTTACATTTAATGGTTGAAAATTATCTTTGAGAAATGGTTCTGAATATATTTTTTTTATGATTCATTTTAAGAATTGACATTTTCTTTAGCAGGTTTCAGTTCTGAATCTTTTAGCTGGTCAAGTTATCTGAAGATGACAAAAGCTCAGTCTGCACCGAAGCATTTATTTGTCAATTCTCATGCACAGGTAAATAAGTGGCACATTGCTTATTTTTACTTTTTTTCTGAAAGATATCTCATACTATAAAGAAACCATCTTTTGAGAATATTATTCATCTTGAAGTCATGTTGAAAGAATAACAGATAATAGTTTGATTTTGTTTTCCTTTTTTTTTTACAAATTACACAGAGAATTTCATCTTTATTTTTAGTTTGCTTTGTATTGGAACATTTTATTTTTACACAGGCCATCAATTTACAGCAGTCAGTAGTCAGACCAGGATCAGAAATGATGGATAAAAGTAAATCCTAGTCAAAAATTAATAATAATGGATGACAATGCTTCATCTAATAAAAATAAAATGTCAGTAATACTATATAGTAGAGAATATATAGGAATAATGTATGTAAGATTTGTAAGTTTGAAAAATATCTATTATTAAATATAAAGATAGTATGTTGTTCTCTAATGGTTATAAGTAATACTGTATAAAAAGCAGAAATTTAAATTTCCTTTGTGTCATATCTTAACATTACTTAATTTGAATTTGTATTCTTTTCATTAGTCACCCCAGTTAGCCCAGTTTATTTTCAAAGTAGTTTAAATAGTTTAAGTAGCAAAATTCAAAATTTAGTAGCACTCAGCTTTCAAAAGTAGCCTAATCTGGTAACCCTGGTTCCATTTTGTTTTTCATTGCTAGCAAAAATAGAATGAATATATATAAAATATAGGTAATCCACAATCCTATATAGGATGTCATAAATTTACTGCCTGAGCAGTATTGAAAGCGTGAGCAATATTTATTCATGTGCAGTGTGTCTTGGGCAAGTAGACCTGACAGGACCTGTCCCTTTTCCAAGTCAAATCACAGCTGATGTTCTCCAACTTGAAAGCTTACTTTGGTCAGAGACATGTAGCTATTGATTCTATCGGGAAGGACCCCCTGACCTGTGATGCCATGTCATCACCCCACTGGCTATCTATATAGCTATAGAGCCTTGTCTATTCCATTGTGCTAGATGGCCATTGACCTGTCAAAGAGGTTCATCCCTTTGATTGGTCTGTTATAATTCTGCTGGGTGTCTAGCCACCCAACTCACTAGAAGCCTGTTTTAGTCACTGATGACCTGACCATGCAGCAGGTAATATTGGAATACATGGTACCAATATTATTTGTAGGGTACCTGACATAAGACAAGAGTGATTGATCTAAAATAAATTTTCACCTATCACAAAGTTTAAATAATTGTTTCCTACTGGACCCAGATGCTAGTTTTTCAGCCCAAACAAAAGCCAATATTTTGAATGCTTATTTTTAAGTCAGTCAGACCATTTGCATTTGAAATTTTGTTTTAATAAAATCTTCCTACTGATTCTCCTCCTTATTTGGCCTTCTGTCATACTAGGCTTAGTTAATTTCCTGTATAAGAAAAGTGCACTTTTTCTTGCTAACTCTTTGGTTTGAGTTAAATATGTATTCAAAAAGAATTAAAAAAAAAAATTTAACAATTCAGTTTGGGTTCTGTTAATATATTTCCTTTTTTCTTTTTTTCTCATCTGTGGAATAAAAAAAAAATATATGTAGCCTGTGGTGCCAAATCCCTTCCGTGTTGGAATGAAGCTTGAGGCAGTAGATAAAAAGAACACTAGTCTCATCTGTGTAGCAACAGTAGCTGACGTCCTTGGAGATCGTTTGCTTGTCCGTTTTGATGGATGGGAAGATACATATGATTATTGGTGTGACCCATCATCTCCTTATATCCATCCAGTTGGATGGTGCAAAGAGAATTCAGAAACACTCTCACCTCCTTGTGGTAAGTTTACATAATTTCATTTCAACTGAGAGATTTTCTTTTTTTATTTATATTTTCTTAAATTTATTCAGATGTATTGCATCTCTTGTATGATTTCAGATGTTATTATCATATAAGTTTTTTTATGTAAAAAAAAAAAATAAAACTCAAGGGAAGGAATGTCAAATATGAACCAAAAATATAGGTGAATTATGCAAAACAATATCAACATGTTTTGTAAGAAATAAAATGTTGATCTGATCACTTACCTTTCCCTTGAATACATTGAACCAGATCACTTGCTGTTGGATATATTGAATCTAATTGCTCACCTTCAGATGGGCCTAATCAGATTGCTTGCCTTGGAGATATCGAATCAGATCACTTGCTGTTGGATACAACAAATCTAATTGCTCACCTTCAGATGGACCTAATCAGATCACTTGCCGTTGGATACATCGAATCTAATTGCTCACCTTCAGATGGACCTAATCAGATTGCTTGCCTTGGAGATATTGAATCAGATCACTATCAGATTGCTTGCCTTGGAGATATCGAATCAGATCACTATCAGATTGCTTGCCTTGGAGATATCGAATCAGATCACTATCAGATTGCTTGCCTTGGAGATATCGAATCAGATTGCTTGCCTTGGAGATATCGAATCAGATTGCTTGCCTTGGAGATATCGAATCAGATCACTTGCCGTTGGATACATCGAATCTAATTGCTCACCTTCAGATGCACCTAATCAGATTGCTTGCCTTGGAGATATTGAATCAGATCACTTACCGTTGGATATATGGAATCAGATCACTCACCATTGGATATATGGAATCAGATCACTCACCATTGGATATATCGAATCAGATCACTCACCATTGGATATATCGAATCAGATCACTTGCCCTTGGATATATCGAATCAGATCACTGCCCTTGGATACAGTGAATCAGACTGTTCACCCTTGGATACATCGAATCAGATTGCTCAACTGCAGATAGATTGACTCAGATTGCTCGCTTCAGATATATTGAATAATTGCTCACTCTTGGATATATTAAATCAGATTGCTCATTCTCAGATACATCAAATCAGATCACTCATCCTTGTAAACATCAAATTATATTGCTCACCCTTGGATACATCGACTCAGCTTGCTTGTTTTCAGGATCAGAATCAGATTGCTCACTCTCAGATAAATTGAATCAAATTGCTCGCACTTGGAAACATCGAATTAGATTGCTCACTCTCGGATACATGGAATCAAATTGCTTGCCCTTTTATACATTGGATACATTGGCTCAAATTGCTTGCTTTAGATATATCAGTTCAAATTTCCTGCCCTCGTATACATTGGATCAGATGGCTCGCCCTCAGAGATATTGAATCAGATCGCACACCCTTGGATACATTGAATCAGCTCACACACCCTGGGAGACATTTAATCAGATTGCTCACCCTCAGATGTTGCATTGATTGCCATATTGAATATAACATGAATGATTATTAGGATTGCAGAGTGTCTCTGGTTTTTAATTATTATTTTGCAACTGTGTCAATTTTGGTTGATCTTTTGTGCTAAATGCCTCACTTCAACTAGTTAATTTTTCTAAAAGTGATCAATTTCAACAAAGATTAAGTCAAAATAAATCAAACTACATAGGAAATATATATTTTCATAAAAATACTCCAGTTTTAGGTTTGTGCAAGCTCATAAACATATTTTGCTTATATTATAAATAATCCAACTACTGCTGCTACTGACAGACAAAACTATTAATGTAGATAATAAAAGCAGATGGTGGGCCAGTTGAGTAAATACTTCACCATCTTATCTCCAAATCTTTGCAGGATTTCTTCTAAGAAAAAACGGGGTTTATGCCATTTTTTTAATTTAATTAATGAATTTACAAAATGTAATTTGCACCTGGCTTCTACATTTTTTATCATATCCTCTTGGAAAAAAGTAATAAAATATTTCAGAGTTTTTTAAGCTATTTTGACTTTGTAAAATTTTATCAAATCAAAAAATTTGTTTATTGACAGATAGATGAAAATATATTATGTTATATACAAAATAAATAAATCATAACATTAAATCAAATGTTGTTCATATAAAGACATGTTCTAAACTAGCTGGAGGATGCTTAAAGTATGTAGTTGATTGTGCTATATTCAATTTGATGTCTTCTTAGAAGAATTTGCCTTGTTGACATGAAAACACCACTTCAATTCGACATCTACCTATTTTTCAAGTCAGAGGATCCTTTCACAAGGACAGTTCCAATCTCTCAGCCTCCAAGTTTTCCATTGGTGATGAGACATTACAACTGGAAGCCATCTTGCCAGACAGGAAGCAGAATTTGTCATCAACCTGCCTTAAGATTTCTATTCCAAATTTGGAATCAGAGTTGTCTGTCACATAGACTGGTTGCCAATTGAGGCTAGAAGGCCCAGTTTACCTGTTATTACAAACATATCAAAAGGTTATAAAATATATATAGCAAGGTTTGTGTGTGTTGGTATTTACCGTTCATATAAATGTATATTTTAATTAAAAATAATAAATCTTCACTTTTAGTACCAACAACAATAAACAAAAGAATCCTCAAATAAATTTTGGCTTTTCTAAATCACAATTTCTGCTTTAGTTCCATAAGCAACATTTTTTCTTTTTAACTGCCTCAGAATGCTTTTAAGAAGCATTGTGCATTTTCCGTTTTCAGAATGGAAAGATCCAGTGAACTTTAGTTGGGACTGTTATCTTTCAGAAAAAAATGCCACTGCAGTTCCTGCCCGTGCATTTCGACCTGTAAGTTGAAAAATTGTTTATTTTTATTGCATGGTCTTTCATTCATTAAACACATGAAATAGTATAGATTTCATGTGTTTAACATTGCAGAATGGTCTGTTTTAGCTAACATATTGCTCAGATCAGCTTCTTAGAAAATTTGTAATAGTTTGCTTAATCTCCGGAAATTTTTTTTGCTTTTGAAGCAGGATGCTTTATGCCAGGGGTTGCCAAAATTCTGCTTGCAAACCACATAGAGCTTATAGAAAAATGTTAGAATTAAAAAAAAAAAAAAAACACTTGTTTGTAAAATAAGATCCATAAATCAGTCTGCAACTGAATTATGGCAAAAGGTTTCAGAAATAAAGTATGCTGTACTGAAGAAAATTTGTTTGCAACTCATTTTGATTGTCAGTTCAAAGATTTAAAAATATATAGTGTATATATAATGTATAGATATGTCCTTCATGATTACTGACACTAGCACTAATTAACAGCTTTAAAAAATGCTATGCATGAATAAATGTTATTGCATATGTGTACTTGCCAATAGTGACAAAACCTTTGGGACAAAATATATGTGTAACAATAAAATTTACAATAGCACAATTCATTTGAAGTTATGCAAATGACGTAAATCTCAATAACTTGAATTTGAAAAAGTGATTTTTCTGGTTTAGCATAACTTCAGACTGCAGTTTTTTATAAGTAATCCAATAACTTTAATCAAGCATATTGAAACTACCTAAAAATTTAACTGAAGCTTTGTTTTTACTTTTAAATTAATCATTTGAAATTTGACAAAAATTGTTCAAAGCAAATTTGAATTATTGAGGTTTATGTGATTTGCATAATAACTCCAGACGGAGTGTACTGTATAAATTACAATTTATAAAAATAAAAACATATAAATTTTATTCATATTTTGCAACTCTCAAACATTTGAAGTTTATCATATGTGGCAATTACATTAAGCAAGTTTGTCTACCTTTGCTTTATACCTTAAGCACTTTTATATAACAGTATTTTTCATTTACACGGATTTGGTTAAAAATCAAGAAATATTCTTTAAAAGTTTATTTTTTAATTTTTTTCTGTATTAAGGACTATTTTGTTGGTTTCCTATACATATTTAAATATAAATTCTCCAATTTATTTAAATATGTAGCAGAAATCAGAAAAATGGTCTGGAGAAAAAGGAAATTAAATAAAAATTCTTAAGAAAGAACTTTCACTGGTTTTTAACCAAACTTGTACAAATGAAAAATTGTTGCCCAAATACACCCAATTCAAAAAAAGTTTTGTATATTAAATGTCTGTATGCATCTTCAATATGAGTAGATAAGTTTTCCTATCTTCCAGTTCAGACAACTGCCTGATCTTTTGAAGAGGAGCAGAGGTTTATACCTTTTGTTTCCTGTTTAAGATTTGGGTTTCCAGTTCTTTTAAAGTTTTTTTCATTTGCTTTCACTCCCAGCTGCTCTTTGCATCTTAGTGGCATTATCACCTGGCATGGGGTGAATTGATTAAAAAAAAAATTACTAATTTAAAAATTGTGTGCAGCAAATGTTCTTTTAGGCAAATGTTATTAAAGACAACAGACATTTTGTGTTGATTAATTTTATTGATCTACTTTTTCAAATTACCAATAATTCTCTTATACAAGACCAAGGTTGTGCATGAGTATGCTTGCTCACTTAGAGAATGTTTCTCTGTAAATAAAAAACACAATACACTTTACATAGGATATATCACAACCACTCTCTGATGGGGACTCACTTGTCACCTATCAGACCAAAGTGCAATCAAATAAGCATAAGGATTATTCATAATTTAGAAAATCAAAATTAAGTGACACAAAATGTTTAAAATTGTCTTTAATAATTTAAAGATTTAGATATTTCATTTCCCACTTATTAGACATTGTTTTAATAAGACTAATTTAAACATTCCTATAGTGAAAATCTAAGGTTTATATATTGTCTTAATTGTTTTTCTTCAGCGCCCTCCTGTTGGTTTTGAGTGTGGCATGAAAGTTGAAGTGGTTGATAAACGAAATCCAATTCTTATCCGAGTGGCCACCATTGCTGCAATTGACAAACATCGTGTGAAGATTCACTTTGATGGTTGGTCAGAAATCTATGATTATTGGCTAGATGATGACAGTCCAGACATTCACCCACCTGGATGGTGTCACAGAACTGGACATTCTCTCCAAGCTCCTATTGGTAAGAATGTTTTTCTTCTGTTTTTTATGTGTAAGTGTATCCATGCTATTAAAAATGGTGCTAGTTATTTTATTATTGACATGCAATGAAACAAATGTTTTGAAGCAATGTATTGAGATTAAATAAAGTGGAGATCTAGAATTCACAGATAAAGTAGAGGCTAATGAACCATTTAATTAATTTGATCCCCTACTACAGTGGTTCCAAAATGGTTCTGTGTGCCTCATATCTGTGGCAGAAGAGGATAGCAGGTGAGGTGGAATGATTGAAAGACAATCAAAGATATAAAAACAGTATAAAAAAAAATTCATATGAAAAAATTAAATGATTTCAAAATTTAAGATATTATTATGGATTACTTATAAATGTATGCATGAGTCCCGGTATCAATAGTTATAAATAATAATTGATCAATTTTATCATTGTGATATTTTTGCTTTATATCAAGTATTAAGAATATAGTACCTAGGGTCTGCAAATTGGGAGAGAGAGTTATCAATGATAATATTCTGACTTTAAATCCGCAGTTATCTCCCTTCAATCATCTCTCTGTTTTTTTTAGTTTCAAATGTACTTTTTATCACATAAATTTTAGTTAAATGCGAGCAAATTTTTATTCTGAAAATGTGGCCCAGAGAAAAAATCTTGGGAACCACAGCCCTACTACTACATTTCTTAAAAATATTTTTAAGTGAAGTAACCACTCATAAATTTAATAAAGTTAATTTACCTCCCTTTCCACTATAGAGTGTGACATGAAAGATATAAAAAAAATACATAATGGTAATTATTAGAGTGTTGATTGTCATCTTTTATTTATTTTCTTACATCATCTAGTTCTGACAGTGTTCATTGTTGTAATTGCATGGAAGATAATGATTGCACTTATTCAGTATTTAAATCATTCCATAGATGGGGAAATGTTTATCTGGTACAGTGGGTTAATGAGTACTGTACTTTTTTTGAGAGCAAAGTGAATGGATAACTTTATGTAAAGAGATAAAATTCATGTCTCTTTTCAAATAAATGGGGCTATTTAAGGCATTTTTTATTATTTTCATTTTATTGTTAGGGCCTGGAGATTTAGCATCAGTTCAAGGTCAAGGTGGATGTCCAACACCTGGTTGCAAAGGTATTGGTCACATCAAAGGTGCTAAATATGCTGGTCATCACAGGTATGTCATTAATCATTTGAAATCGACAGGATTGTACCTAATTATTTTTTATTTTTTTTTAGGTTTATATTATGTTTCTTTTTTTAAATTTCAGTTCTTGCCAACAATTTTCTATTCATTAAACTTTTTATACAATATAAAAAGAATTTTTTTCCTTTCTAGATAAAATAGAAAGATTATTAGAGTTGATTGCTAAAATTTTCTAAATCAAAATAGATTTTGCTAATATTGATGAAACTACAAAGAATAAACCTTTAGATTTCTTTGATATTTTAAAACGTTTTTTCATTTTTACTTGAAGAAGCTCCCATAACCAAAAATTGTAAATCATTTTGATGCTGCTCTTAATCTCTCATATATATAGTATATCATGTGTAAAAAATTCAGATGGAATATATCTGTAAAAGGACAATATGAATAAAGACAAAAGGAAAACTTATCTTAGTCAACATGTTTCATTATCTGAGGGACTTTATCAAGGCACAAAGTCCCTTAGAGGATGAAATGTGTCAGCTAAGATAAGTTATCTTTTTGCTTTATTTATAGTATATCATATATAATAATGAACATGCATTGTGACTTTTTTACATATTTCATTTTTATGACTTCTTTCAAACAAGAACAGATAAATAAAATTAATATATGAATCCTGTCCAGATTTGAAAGTTAAACCTGGAGGTAAGCAGACAAGTGTCATATTCAGTATGTCAGTGTTCAGCTGTTTGAACAGCAAAAATTACTTGAAGATACAGTGAAACCTTGGTTCATGAATTTAATTTGTTCCTGAAGGCTGTTTGTAACCTGAAACTGTTATTCTAATAGGAATCAATGTAGGGAAAAAAGTCACAGTACAATAAAATTGGAAAAGAAAAGCACACCACAACACACAAATGTATACAACATGGTGGTTGGCTCGGAAATTATTCTGTTCGGGTTAACTTAATTCAGCAATGTTGTTCGAGAACTGAAATTTTGTTCAATAACCAAGGCATTTTCATCTCAAATTTTCTGTTCGAAAACTGATTTGTTTGACACATGAGACATTCAAGAACTGATGTTGCACTGTATTAAGTTAGGCAGAGTGCACAGATGCTACACTGATCCATGGCATAGTGTCAGAGAGGGATATTTTGATCTCAGGCAGAATATGTACAAATAAAAAGAAATTCTAATTCATACACAAATAGTCCATTATTTTTTACTTGTACTTATATGTGTGTTCGTGTGTGTGTGTTTTAGGAAAATCTATTCATAGATATTCTGAAAATATGAAAATATATGGAAAAGATTTTTTGTGTTTAGCGTTTCGTCCTTTAGGGCTTCATTGGACTAAAGTAATGTTTAGGTTGATGTGACTACACATGTGCATGAAGGAGAGGGGATGCTGAAATTTTAAACTTTTAAATTTGATTTTTTTTTTTACACATCTTGACAAATAGTCAAGCTGATTTTTTTTTTTTTACACATCTTGACATATAGTCAAGCTGATTTTTTTTTTTACACATCTTGACATATAGTCAAGCTGATTTTTTTTTTTACACATCTTGACATATTGTCAAGCTGATTTTTTTTTTTTTACACATCTTGACATATAGTCAAGCTGATTTTTTTTTTTTACACATCTTGACATATAGTCAAGCTGATTTTTTTTTTTTTACACATCTTGACATATAGTCAAGCTGATTTTTTTACACATCTTGACATATAGTCAAGCTGATTTTTTTTTTACACATCTTGACAAATAGTCAAGCTGATTTTTTTTTTACACATCTTGACATATAGTCAAGCTGATTTTTTTTTTACACATCTTGACAAATAGTCAAGCTGATTTTTTTTTTTTACACATCTTGACATATAGTCAAGCTGATTTTTTTTTTTTACACATCTTGACATATAGTCAAGCTGATTTTTTTTTTTTACACATCTTGACATATAGTCAAGCTGATTTTTTTTTTTTACACATCTTGACATATAGTAAAGCTGATTTTTTTTTTTTTGCATCTTGACATATAGTCAAGCTGATTTTTTTTTTTTTACATCTTGACATATAGTCAAGCTGATTTTTTTTTTTTTACACATCTTGACATATAGTCAAGCTGATTTTTTTTTTTTTACACATCTTGACATATAGTCAAGCTGATTTCATTTAGTTTAGCTTCTTTATCTTTTTGTTTCTATTTTTACCACTTTTGTTATTAAGTATCCCACATTGGTAATTCCTAAAATAAAATTGTTCTGATATATAAAAATTTATATATCTTTTCCCCATATAGTGGACTCTCCCATTGTATTCAATGTATGAGGGTCAAGCAGCTCAGTTCCTAGGAACCAACAGCCAGGCACCAGCACATATTATTTGATTATAGTGATGAAGGCTTTGTGCAGAACAGCCACACTTTTTGAAGGGCTGAATGCAGAGACCTGGTGCACAAGGTCCCCCAAACAACCCTCTGCAGGTTTTGAATACAGAGTTGTCCTTCTAGATCAGTTGCCATCCAAGGCTATAGAACCCAGTCTGTCCTGTTAATTACTCATAGCTGGAGGGAGTAGAGGATTCATACCTTTCCCAAGGGTATTAGCACGTGAGTGAATGTAATGTAATGGATTTGACTGGAATTTGAACTCTGCTCTCTGAGCTCTCAGTCCGAGCTGCTACCCACTGCTCCACTATGCCTCGTTTTATATATATATATATATATATATATATATATATATATATATATATATATAATAATTATTTATTTAAAAATATGATTCCATCGCTACATAAGAGTTCTCATGTTTCAAAACAAGAGCCAAAAACTTCAATATAATTATTTGAATTATATTGGATTAAAGTACCAAGCTCTGTTCGATCTTCAAGCGAAATTTTTTTTTGAATAACTAATTCCTGAAATTTACGCGTTTTATAAGCATATTCATTATTAAAATTAAAATTACTATGGTAACGGCTAGAGCAATTATTTAAAAAAAAGGGGCGTAAGGGTTAATAATTTGTATCAATATCTCAGTTACATTTAAATAGGTCAAGTCAGGGTAAGGTTGGGGTGTCTAAATTCAAAGCTGAAGATGATGTCGTCTAGTCTGGTTAAGTGTCTATGGAGATTTATTTTATTTTTTATTTTATTTTTTTCCTGAAAGGGTTTTGTGTATATAAAAAAACTCATAATTCGCTAACATTTGTTTTTTTGAGGACTTCATAAAGGTTTTTTTTTTTTTTTTATAAAAGTAGACATAGAGGCCAATACCCAGTGGCAACAGTCTGTTTCATGCTTAAACACCATTGTTAGAGGTCTGGTGATAGCATCTAAGCATGAAACATGCTGTCACTGCTGGGTGTTGACCTCAATGTCCTCTTTTATATTTACATATGCTCTATCCCCGATATTAAGCACTTTAACCCATAAATATAACATACCTTAAAAGTATATTTTTATGTTATATATCATTTTGGTAGCAGTTGTTCATTTAAGAACCATTTTCTTAAAAACCACAGGCAAAACTTGTTTTGTTATAATTTGCCAAAAATTCATAAACATGGTGCCCCCCACTCTCAGGGTTATTATTTTTAAAATAACTAGTTTTGTTTACCAACTAACCAAAACAATTAACCAGATTATACTATTAAACATATCAAAGAAATACAATATTAACTTCATTCACAAACTTCATACTAATTTTGTCCAAAAAAACCAACATTGGTATATTAGCTTTGGTAGATAACAAAAGCAATGTCCCTGTAAAAGATTGAGCATCCTCTGTAAACATCTACCTTGCACCACTAACATTTCATTCTATGATTCCCTAGGTAATATTTACAATCCCACTGAGAATGCAGTCTTCAAAAATTCAGCTAAATTCATTATATATGTTAGAAATATAGACAATATATTTCTCTTATCTAAAAGATTAGATAAAATAAAAAAAACCTTAAAGAAACTCTTGAAAGTAATTCAACTATGAAGCAAATATCAATAACAAAATTCTTTTTCATGATTACCTAATAGATTCTAATAGCCAAACTTTCACCACAACCTTATATTTAAAAGAATAAAAAAAAAACAATAATTTTAAATTCTTGCCTCTTTAATTATAACAGTCATAATAATATCTATCTTAAAAATTTAATCAGCAGGGCTTACCTCATTTGCTCTTCTGATACACAAATACTAATTAACAATAACTTTGCAAACTATATAGAATAAGTGTAAAGTAAATAAATATGAGAATTACATACAATATGTCTGGCAATAATAATATAATAATATTTTTCTTAATGTTTTTCTTTCTCTCATATTCTTTGCCACTCAGTAACTCCTTGCATCCTACAGGCTTTATTACGCTGCCTGGGGTGAAATGATTTAAAAAAACAAAACTATTCTACTACAACTAAATGCATCAAAATTTTAAACAAGATGAAATAGCTATGAAGAATGTGAGGGGATACCGAAATGTTCTTGGCCTAACCAAGAAAGGGTTAAAAAAAATCCTGATGTTTGGTCAGATTTAGGGAAGTGGGTAGGGGTCTGAATTTTTTTTAGCCAGATCCACTTCCCAAAATTTGATCACATGACCAAATACTAGTGCTATTTTTTTTTTTTTTTTTTTGCACCCTCTTGTATATGTTGGAATGTGTCACCTAATGATAGGGATAAACATATAAGATTGTCTTGTTGATAACTTTGAGAAGCATCATTAAAATACCCAATATTATTTTGAGTGCTTGTTTATTTACTGTTATCATGACATTTTGGCTGATTCATTCTTTGGCCTTCATCAGGTATAATTTGTGAAAAAAAGAATGGAAATAAGAACCACTTAGGGCACACTTTTGGCAACCTAGTTTGCATGGAGTAGAAAATTATATGAATTATCTTTATATTTGTGCAAGCTATTTTAAATGCTTTAATTGCTTTGTTGTACGATCACTGAAGATAAGCTAAGTTGATCTTAGTCAGTACCTAGATGAGTAACTGCTTGGAAATAACAGGAGTTGTAAGCATGGATGTGTGGGTTATATAATGGATAATGGCTCGGAATTGAAAATCAAAGAGCAAAGTTACAATTCCAGTCAGGTTTGTTATATTCACTTATGTGCAAATAACTTGGGAAAGGTATGTATCCACCTATTCTCCCCCCATCTATGGGTTAATTAGTAGGTCTTGTATCAGTAAATCATTATTATCTACAAAAAATTCTTAAATCTAAAAATATTTTCTGGCTTTAAATAACCTTTTAAAAGGTTGATAATCTGTAAAAAACAAATCAATTTAAAACCACATATGTTTAATTGACCATTTAAGAGCAGAATATTTGTTTTTACTCTTTTTGAATTGGATTGAATTAATTCAATGCTGAAGGGCTGTTTAGGATCTTATAATGTCAAGATATTGTTTATGATGGACTTTCTGAATCATATTTTTAACAGATGTGGTAAAGTTTGCCATTTTATGTAGAATTATAATTTGTTACCAAGGTTCAAGAGTTTAATCTCACTATTTTTATTATAGCATATCTAGGGATAACAGCTGTCAATATGTAAATTCATCTCAATGAAATATCTCATTAGTGACTCAAGAAAAAAATGGAAGTTCTTTGTTGAGATATCTCATCTGTGACTTGAGTAAAAACGATGTTCTCATGAGATATCTCATAAGTCACTCAAGAAAAAAGAAACTTTTTGTGAGATATCTCATCAGTCAGTAGAGAAAAAAAGTTCTCATGAGATATCAGTCACTTGAGGAAAATAGTTAAATAAAAAGAATGTTATTTTGAATTTTTATTTTTGTCAATCATTGTTACGTTTTGACTCATATTATTTTCCTTTTAATTTTACCTGCTTTTCATTGCAATTGCTCCATCATTATATGGTTGTTAGTAATCAGTGTAGATCAGAAATAAAAAAAAAAAGCTCTGGGTGAGGCTAGAACTCTCATCCCTTTTTGCTTTGGGAAGCTTATCTTATAGCTTTTCTAACTGATTGTCATATGACTCTGCTGAGTGATTGTGGGTGGGAGGGAATAAGGAATAATATAGTTAGATTTGATCTTCTGCCAGCCATAAAAGTTCCTCTAGCTCAAACTGTAGAACAGCTGATATGGAAAAACACCTTTTGAGGCAAAAGGAATGCATGTGAGTTTGACAATTGTCAAAAAACTGTCTGAGTTGTTATGATGAAATGTAACTGAAATTGAGATGAAAAAAGAAAATTCAAAAATTGATAATCATTAAAAGGAAGTCACCTTTTTCTGTTTTGCTTTTATGTTTCTCACTGTCTGGATATGTTTCTTGCAATTCATTGCTATTATTTCTTAATATTTTTTTCTTCTATTCATGTTTATTCTACAGTGCTTCTGGTTGTTCTTACTCTCACTTGAATATGAACAAAGAAACAACATTGCAGGACCGTTTAGGGTCAACTCGGGTGGAAGAAGGAACCAGTACACCTGCAGGACAAAGGTCAGCAAGAGCAATTGAATCCACTGTTGTAACAACAGAGATATCGTAAGTTATGCATGTCCATTTATTTATACTTTTTAAAAAAAAAAAAAATCTTTCTCTTCTGTTTCAAGCACACTATGGAGTTATAAAAAAAAATATTTCCCTTTGGTTCAGCTGTCATCATTATAAACTCTACAGCAACTGATATGTCAGAGGGAACAGATTTCTGAAGAAAATAATCCTGAATTAGATATTTACACAAAAAATAATTGAACCATGCATATAAAGAGAACATACAAAACAAGACAAAGAATATCTTTTTATTCTATAACTGTAGTAAGACAAAAATATATTTTCCAAAGCATATTACATAGTTGTTTTTTTTTTTTTTTTCCTTCAATCATCTCACCCCAGACAAGGAGATAATGCCACTAAAATGCAAGAGGTTACTCGAGAGTGAAAGAAGATGAGAAAACATTATTGAGACGAGAGGAAAATAAAAAAGAACCAGATTCAAGGAGACAGGAGATGATGATTGACATTACATTTAAATATTTGAAGATCGTATTTGGCAGGAAAACAAGAAACTGGAAGAGATTTCCATAGGCAAGAAGTATGAGAGAAGAAACTATTAGAATAGAAATAGAATACAGAAATATTTTTGTAGGTTTTATGAATTCTTTCTGCTTATTTATCTCTCTTTGCATTTTTCTGTTAAATTGTTGTGTGTTCTAGGTTCTTTTCTTGAAATAACTTCAGCAGGAAAATATAGAATGCACTTAAGTCAGGTGATTTTCTAATCTGTTAACTCAACCCTATCAGTTATTCTGCTTGTTTGTATGTACAAATACTGTACTAGGCAGCAAGAGGGAAGCAATAACCTATCTAATGAGCTTATGTAAATGGCTGGAAGAACAGGGAATAAGAGGGATAGCAAAAAGACAAACATTGCTATGGGCTGCAAGGAAATTGTGGAGAGCTAGGATCACTCGGATCCTGAAAGGATACAGCATATAGAAGAAGATGCTTTTCTACTTAGGGTTAGAATGCATGCTCCTGGGCCCTTAGGCTGGGATCAGTGTGTAGTATATGTCCTTTACTGTGTTTTTGTCTCAAGACAGTTCAAAGGAAAGTTTTTAAAAACTGCAGGATCAGGTTGTATGTTCCCCGACCTTTGAGCTAGGATCAAAGTGTAGTATATGTTTTCTTTTCCTCTGAGAGTTATGAAGGTGCCTAGTGCTGGTGATTCTAACCCTGTGGCAGCACCTTCCTCATTGCATTAAAGAGAGTCAGTGTGACAGTGTTTACAGGAACTGGGCAATTTTTATGTACCACATTTTAGTTTCATATGAGGTAAGGTAAATATAGGATCAGAGTGGAATACTGATACATTAAAAACTGGGTCTGTGCTTAATCTGACCCTTTTGAGCCAGGATTAGTTACACTTTATGATCAAAAAAACCTATATAATAATATTATGTAGGAAGAAATTGTGTAATGTTGTATAGAAGTGGGGAAAGGGTTTAGAAGAAGAAAGATAAATAAGAAAGCCGATAAAAATATATACATACATATGTATAGAGATTGTAGGAAGTGATGAAGACAAAAGGAAGTCATAGAGAGACAGCTTTGTGGGCTGGATATCATGAGACAATGAACAAAAAGATTGAGAGATTGAAAGAGATGGAAAAGTATAAAAGTTGGGATAAATTTATGGGCAATGAAGATTAGAAGGGATAAAGAAGAGAATAAGAAGATACAGGCGAATGGTTTGGAGAAACACATAAGAATAAGATAATGGATAAACTTATTTCCATTGGGTCATCTAGTGCAGAGGTTCTCAACCAGGGGAAAGGGAATTCTCCCCCAGGTGACATCTTTTTCTTGCGTTTTACTTACAGAATTTTGTTTATTGAATTACAATACCCTGTCATTCTATTGAACTTTACAAATTACTGTAGATGTATTGAATTTTAAAAATCCATCAACATTTTTGATTGCTATTAAATCTGTAAAACTCCTTTATAAAAAAAAATAATTCATGTATTAATATGGAAAAGAATGAAGAGTTTCAATAATATATGCATATTACTTGAAATGCACCTTTTGGTGACAATCTTGGAAAAGGGGGGGGGCGACATTATGACTCCTGGCAAAAAGCATGAATTGAGAATCATTGATCTAGAAAAATGTTTAAAAAGATAAAAAAAAAAACAAAAAACTACATCCATATTTTTGTTGTCATATTTCTTATAAGTATTTGTTTCTGTGGACAAACATCTGGTTGGCATCTTTTTTTTTTTTTTTTTTTTTTTTTTTTAAATCATTTCACCCCAAGCAAGTTGGGAGTGCCACTAACACACAGGGAGTTACAAAGAGTGAAAGTGAGAGTAAAAACTGGGTATAAGGGGCATTGAGAAAAGGACAAAAGATGAACAGAATTCAAGACAGCAGACAGCGGTGATTGACATTGCATTTAAATTTTTGAAGATTGTACTTTTCAGGGAAGCAAGTAAGCGAGTTCCACTGTTGGGAAGTGTGAGAAAAGAAACTGTTGAAGTATAAGTGGTGGGTACATTTAACTATTTCAACAGTAAAAGGGTGGGACCTAGATGCCAATCTAGTAGCACACTTAAATTCATGTAGTCAGGGTACCAGGGGAAAAAAGCAGTTGCCATGAAAATATTTGTAGAAAAGACAGAGAAACCACACCAAGTTGAACTGGCTTCCTCCTGAGCAAGTACAGCATCACGGACCATCGCTGCCCACGCTCGCCGATCCTGAGCCAGGTCATATGAAATGGCGAGCCAATCGCGATTACATTGTCGAAGACCAACTGCTTGTGGACCCGATAGTACTGCTAGGTCATCGTTGATTGTGCTATTCCACATCTTCAGCTGCCCGCCGACACGTTTTTGCCAGCCAGGAAGAGAAGAAGGGAGAAGTACATTGCGGATGAGCTCTCTCTCCAGGCATCGAGCTGTGTGCATGAACCATTGGAGACGATGCTGGAGCAGGACGGGTGGAAAAGGACGGAGACTCAGGCAATGACGTAGAGTGGCTGTGTGCACACAATCGATTCAGCAGCATTGTAGAATGCAGTGAAGGCAATTGTTGTCGAACACTTTGAACCACTCTAAGTGGCCACATTTTGCAGCCATAGAGAAGGACAGTCCGAACAATAGCCTTATAGATGTGCCCCATCGTAGCTGTGGAAATCTCCCATCACCCACATAGTGACCACTTGAGATGCACGAATGCGGATCTTGCAGCTCCTATACGGCATTCAACCTCAGCAGCTGCCTGCCTGGATGGATTTTGGTTGAACCAAGATAGACGAAAGACTGCATGTTCTCCAGATTGACCCCATCCAGCATCAGTGGCTGCAAGTTGATCAACCAGGGACGGCATAACTTTGGTCTTCAAGGCATTGATGGTCATACCCACATCCCGTGCTGCAGCTTGCACACAGTTGAGCGCAGCTTGCACATCGTCACAGTTCGATCCGACCAAAATAATGTCATCTGTGTAGGCCAGATCAGACACCCTGACATTCCGACCAACTGCAACTCCAGCTTAGTCCCAAAGAACCTTGCCGAGGATGTAGTCGATTGTATAGTTGAATAGGGTAGGGGATAGGGCACACCCCTGCCGCACACCAGTCTTCACCTCAAACATCTCCGATTCCTCACCATAAGCTTGAACATGGGCTTGTGTCGACCGGTAGTAGCCCTTGATGAGACGAAGGAGTTTAGCAGGCATGTCATCGGCCTCCATAATACGCCAGAGTGAGCCTCTATCAATGTAGTTGAAAGCAGCTGCAAAGTTGACGAAGCAGAGGACTGTTGGTTGCTGGTATGCCCAGCATTGTTTAAGGATTGTAGCAAAGGAGTCAAATTCAACAGTGTAAGGGACGCAACTCTTTCCGTCTGAAAATGTCTGACACGCTGCAACGCAAAGCAATGTACACCGAACACGGGTGTAATGCCCTTCTGCCAATTTCTCCAAGCAACCTGCTTTTATGAAGCCCAGACACACCTCATTAGCATGCGTGTAACGCGACTTTGCGTGACTGCACGAGACCGTGAATATTAAAAAGTCACGGATGCCATCTTGGATCTTTTCTTTCTTTTCTTAACCCACAGGCCAGGCAGACGCGAGGGCATTTGGGAGGTAAGCCATTTCTGAAGATCTGATCAACACAGCCCCTGCCTGGGCGGAAGCCACCCTGAGATGGGCGAGTTCACTGATCACGGATGCCTTGAAATTTTCGCAAGAGAAGCTCTGCAAATACTTTGGCCACCATGTCGATGAGGCTGAATCCTCTGTAGTTCGAGCAGATTCTCCTATCACCTTTTTTGAAAAAAGGTAGTAGGATGGCCTTGCTCCAATCGGCAGGGTAGGTCTCAGAGAGCCAGACCGCATTGAAGGCATGATGCACCCACAAGGCGAATACATCTGGCACGGCTTTATATACTTCTGCAGGTATACTATCCTCACCAGGAGCCTTGTTGTTACACAGATGGCGCAGAATATCTCGCACTTCATCTACCACGTCTGTGAGAAAGAAACTGAAATTGAGAAGCCAAGTCAGAATTGATTACATTGTAGATCATTCTTTGAATTTTGTCAAGAACCCTGAGTTGAATAGCAAGATCACCAGACCAGATATGGCAACAGTATTCAATACACGGATGAATGGTAAATTTATAAATGTGCAAGATGGACTCTGACAAGAAAAAAACATTATGGCACGACACAGTGACCCAACTTTCCTTGCAGTAGATGCAGCTATTGATTCAATGTAGTTGTTCCAAGTCATTTGAAAACACAAGACCAACAAGGCACAGTGTGTTGCTCTCCAGGAGTTGAGAATCAGCCATGCTGATGGTGGACAGGAAGTTTCTCTACTGTTGTTAAATCAGAGCAGTTTAAAATTAAAATTTACAAGCCATTTCCTGCCCCAGTTAACCACAAATTTGAGGTTCTTTTCAAGAGCAGCAGCCAGGTTAACTTTG